TGATAACAAACTCTGTTAGTTATGTGGTCCTCAATATCATGCTACTCGTGCCATATGCAGTTAATAGTGCATCTTACCAAAATAGAGTTTCTGTTCAATGATTGCTGAACTGGAAGTAAATGATTGTCTGAATTTTTTTCTATTCTTGAGATGTTGATAAATTGATATGTAGTATGTGTAGTTAGCTGAGTCAAATAATACATTTGATTCTATTATATTGTTTGTTCTTTTTTCCTTTTTTTGGCCTTACTGAAATCTGAAATCTGATATGCAACGCATTTACAGTATATTTACCTTTGAGCGGCTTGACTATGAGAGGTCTCTAGATAAGAAAAATTATGACAAACATCAAAATGACACAAGTTGTTTAAAACTTACCAGATTCAAACATAGTTTCCTTTTAGAGGGAAAAACTTTAAATTAAAAAGGAAAAAATTGGCCTATGGTGATCTGGAAGAAAAATATCTGTAAACTGTTTTTTTCTCTTTCTTCTCTAAATGCAACTACTTCTGGGTGTTGGTGCAGGCTGAGATAGGAAGTTTATATGCAGAAGAAAGCAGGCTGGATAATTCTATCAGGTAAATTGACTAGAATTAGGATAAATGTTTTTCTGTTGATGATCTAGTGTCTCAGTTTCTCGCTTTGTATCTTCAGGGAAAAACAAGAGGCTCTGAGGGCCCTCGAGGAGGATGACAATTATCAGAAGTATATTCTATTCTCTTCTCTTCTCATTTTATCTTTCTCTCAATTCTGTTCGCAGCTGTATCTAAGAATTGTACTTATTGGTTTGCATTATTGGATTATCAGGTACCTATTTTTGACAGAGGAAGATGTGATGAGCCTTCCATGCTTCCAGGTCATCATCTATAAATTTACAAATTTACTTCCAAGTTGAAAAATTTACTCATAACTTAATCTCATCTAGTTATCTTGTTGTGTAACAGAACCAAACACTTATTGCCATTAAAGCTCCTCCAGCTAGTTATATTGAAGTTCCAGATCCTGACGAGGTAAGTTTTGGGGACAATGTGGCTTTGATACCTCAAAATTTTATCACCATTAGTTAACTGATTATTTCCCTGAGCAGGATATAAGCTTTCCCCAAAGGCAGTTTAAAATGATCCTTAGAAGCACAACAGGCCCTATTGATTTGTATCTGCTAAGGTATTTTTAGTTTTACTTGCTATTATTTGCAAGCCCATGCATGTGTAAGGCTCAACTCTTCCCTGTCCCCGTTATTTGAGGCTTTGAAAAGGGATGGAGTCTGGGGATTGGCTAGCTATATATAGCAGTCTGTTTTGGTAGTTCAAATGTTCGATTTTAGTTGCTTCACAATATAAAATCAGTAATTTACATGCTTGGACTATGATATGTGTATATAGAATATATATTCTATAACAGTTATTTCCATTATGATTGTAGCAAATATGAGAGCAAAGCCGAGGACGCAACACTAAGGCAGGTCAAAACTCCAGATTCATCTGCTTGGAATTGTGATCCATACGGTGTTGAAACTTCAGGGGTGTCTTTGGGACACGATGTTAAGCAAAATACTTCTTCTAGGACGTTCATATCACAGGGCTCAGAGGCATCTAGGATTCAGAAAATAATTCCTTCAGACTGTGATGTAAGGAAGTTAGAAGCTCCAATTATGTATTTGTTTCCTTGGAGGTGGATGGGTGGGGTAAAATGGTTAATTGCATATGAATATAATTTATTTGCTCCGACTCTTGCAGATAGATGCTGATTATTGGTTCCAATCAGAGCCCGAAGTCAGCATTACAGATTTGTGGGGTAACTGAGAATCTCTTGGCCATTCCTTTTGTTTCGCCGCTAGCAAACTGGAGAAAGTATGAAAGCCCGTTTCTTGGACAGGAAAAACTGTATATACTCTTTGCCCCCTTCCCTCCAATAACTTATGGTAAAGAAGAATTGAGTTCCGACAGAAATTCTGCTAGAGTCTGGTGTAGAATTAGAAAATGTCACCAGCGACTCTCTGAGATCGGTTTCATCATGTGAATTTTTAGGTAGCTGTCTAAGATGGCATGAAGCGATGGCTGCCAACTTT